TAAACTAAATTCTTCAACCCACACACACACATTTTATATATTTTCTATAATTTAGTACTTTTACTAATTCACGTTGCATCTCCTCTCATGGGATTTTTTAAAATATTCTTTCAACCTACAGTATGACTATTACATGAACAGGGCCCCAAAATTATTAAAACCATTTTTGTCGTACCAATCTCTCACATCAATGATTTCTGTAATTCGTTTAACAGCCTACATCTCTTTCAAACACACATACCACATACATACATCCATTATTACCATGCACAACAGAAAGGAGGTACTTTCCTTTGTTTATATTCTTATAAGAATTCTTATATATTCTTAAAAGAATATAAACAAGATGAAGTGATTCCTCCTACATTCAAGAGAATCAATAGATTACAATACAGAGCTGTCATCAATCAGCTAACCATATCTAACAAAATTAACCAATGATTTGATGGAGCTTCATTACAGTAAATAGCACATCACTGAGGCTAGAAAAATGGTACATAGACATATGCACATGCTTTTATATATATATGTATATGTATTTTTTAAACATACTTCTGATATCTCTGTTGAGAAATTAACTTGAAGAAATCTTGAGAAAGGCATCTTAATAGCCCATTTCAAATTTCATTTTATTATCTTAAAGCAAGTTTCCATAAGTCTTAAGCTTTACACAACTAAGCTACTTCTAACCCCAAATGAATTATATCTTCCCAAACCAGAGTTCCTAAACAGCTATCCAATACAAAATTTAAGTTCAGAAACTTAAGATTTTTCTGAAAATGTTCAACTACTGAAAGGCAGTGGAGTGAGAAAAAAAATTATGTTTTTGTATGAAAATAAAAAAGCTAAGTGCTAGCAAACCATTAATATAGTAAAACCTCTTTGAGGAATAATCAAAGGCACACAGGGTAACAAGTGAACCAAGAAAGGAAAAAAAGCAATTCTCTAACAGAAGGCTACTTTAACAGGGGTATTCTTCTAAACCAGTAAAGTCCAACCAAGATTTTTACTCTATTTTACAGATGCTCCACTATTATGTGACACTACTAATAACCACTCAATTCCAAAGACTTTTCAGGTTCAGTTGGCATGACTTTTAAAAACACTTTTATCTTGATAGAAGAAATACTAGGAAACCAAATAAACCCATCATTTGTTAAAACAAATACATTCAGAAGTGTACAATAAATGTAAAAATACATGGAAACGTTTAGGAAAACAAATCATTTTAATTTTAAATATAAGCAGCAATACTTAGTATGAAAAATACATTATTTACTCATGTGACTACCACAGGACTACAGGCCACATTCAGTTATTACCAAAAACAGACAAATCTAAAAACAGAACTTCTTCCCAATTACATAAATCCAAACGAACAAAAAAACCCAAACATCTTGTTACCATAAAAATTCAACTTTCAGGTCGAGAACATTTTTCCATTGACCAAAATTCACTAAACTTGATTATCAAAACAACCTAAATCATCTCTCCAAGCCAGTCTCTTTACTCCTTTAGTTCACATTTAAAGACATCAGATTGATTTTTCCAAAAAATGTATTTTGGTACAATGCCTCTCACTCAAAATACAAAATACCTTGGTGCTACCCCACGCAGATCCTCCCAGATATGGAGTTCAAATTCCTTAGCCTGGTAACAAAGGCTCCAACCTTCCTTTCTGGCCTCCTCTCAGAATTCGCCTAAAGGAATCTTCCCCGGTGATATTTTCTGACCCAGTGGACTTCGGAATACCTTGTGCTAACAAAATACTTTATTCTTAATAACAACACTGTGGAAAGCCAAGCAAAATTTTCTAAGCAAACTTCAAAGTTGGTAAAAATGAAACGTATTCAAACCTTACTTATATAAGGTTTTATATCTTTATACTTACATAAAGAATAAGTTATTTTCTCGTTATTACCTAAAATGATTAAGATAAAAATATTTGGTAAAGAATGAGACCCACATCTTCTCTCAAAGACTTTAAGATACCCAAATGACAATGGTTCTATTCAATTTTTGAATGAAAACTCAAGTGAAAGAGCTGGTTCTGACAGGAGATTTGGAAACCCTGGACAGCTTTTAAACACTTAAACTCACTTGACAATATTTTATGATTCACTATTAGGGCCCAATCTATTTCTAAATTATACAGGCTAGTACATTGCCACTACTATTCTGGGGAAAATACTTCCCTAATTCACCCTGGAAATCTTTTTTTAAATTTCAAGTTGTTTTAAAGGAAAAATAACTTTATTTTCATAATCACAAATAATATATTGTAAGTTTTGGCTACTGTCAACACATCTCTGAGCACTGAAGATACTCTAAACTTCAACTTTAACTTTCCCCCAAAATACTAAGATAACTTATTTAAACCACTGGATAAAAATTAAACTACAACATAATAGCATAAAGAGAGTTCCCCAGGGTGCCTGGGTGGCTCAGTCGGTTAAGCGTCTGCCTTCGGCTCAGGTCATGATCCCAGGGTCCTGGGATTGAGTACCACATCAGGCTCCCTGCTCAGCGGGAAGCCTACATCTCCCTCTCCCTCTGCCTGCCGCTCTGCCTACTTGGGCTCTCTCTCTGTCTTTCTGTCAAATAAATAAATAAAATCTTAAAAACAAACAAACAAACAAGACAGTTCCCCAAATCCTAGATCTCTTTAATAAGATATTTACTTCTTGTACCAACAGTGCCTGACATTAATGGAAAAACAAACATACAAAAACAAAATAAAAAACCTCTTTCATGAAAAAGAAAATATTAACATCAGGTTTAAAATGCTCAGAGGACAAAGAAAGTGTGTATCAACTTGGTATATACTTAAGTCAGTTGTTCACTGGAGACACCAAAAAGAGGGTGAGGCAGCATCTAAACTATCAGATCATCTACTGAAGAAAACTTAGAGCCCTTGAACCAAGAAATCAGCAGCGTCTGGAACTATGACATATCCAGACTTATCCCCATGTATCTCATTCATTAGTAAGTTTACAGCAAAGGTAGAAGAAAACAAAGGCAAGAATCACAGAAGAATACAGAAGAAAAAGGAAGAGGAAATCAAGGGAGAAGTTGGAGGCAAGGACAGAAAGAAGGGATTAGAGCTAAATGTAAAAGACTAGAAAGAAAAAAGAAATCAAAGGAAAGAGGTATTTTGAGGTACCGAGCAGGCTACATTTGCCTCAGGCGCAACAGTCCCAGAGATAACAGATCACTGCCAATAACTGCCCCAAAAGTCATTTTTTTAAATATTTTTTTACGATTTTATTTATTTGAGAGCACATGAGAGGGGGGAGGGTCAGAGGGAGAAGCAGACTCCCTGCTGAGCAGGTAGCCTGATGCTGGACTTGATCCCAGGACTCCAGGATCATGACCTGAGCCGAAGGCAGTCGCTTAACCAACTGAGCCACCCAGGCGCCCCCCAAGAAGTCATTTTAAGAAAGTTTTAGGAAAACCATTCTTAGAAAACCCTAGATTCCTGAGATAGATTGAACCCAGAATCTAATCCTCTTGTTTAAATGTTCTCAAACCATGTTTTTATTATACTTTATTATAATTAATGAAATTATAAATTTTAACTTTTGAGAGTTTTGGCCAGAATCTGGTAAGTTGTAAATCTAAATTTAAATTAACACCTGACCTATAATTCTCTCAAGTGATACATCGGTAATAATCCTTTAAAAAAAAAATAACATCTGGTGATTTATATAACATCACAGGGGAGAACCTCTCCCCCCAAAAATACTAAAACAAAAGATAAAACTTCTCAAATTAAATATGTCTGTATCTGGGTACCTATGCAAGTCATGCAAGATACAGCAGATGGGATCTGAAACAGACATTTTGTTTTTAAAAGATGCAGGACTATGGGGCGCCTGGGTGGCTCAGTCGTTAGGTGTCTGCCTTCTGCTCAGGTCATGATCCCAGCGTGCTGGGATGGAGCCCTGCATCAGGCTCCCTGCTCAGTGGGGAGCCTGCTTCTCCCTTTCCAGCTGCCCCCACTTCTGTTCCCTCTCTTGCTGTGTCTGTCAAATAAATAAAATCTTAAAAAAAAAAAAGAAAAAGATGCAGGACTAAAAGAATTAGAGAGGTAAATGGACCTGGAGCTATTAAAGATACAAAAAGTATTTTAAGGAGAAGAACTCAGTAAAAATTCCAAATCAGTAAGAGTTAATGAAATGCTATTAAGGCCAGAAGATAGGAAAAATTAATTAAGATTCTGCTTTTGTTTGGTCTCTCCAAACCAGAAGGGTACCCCTACGTGGTCTGGGTATCCTCAGGAGGACTTAGTCTGAGGGGATGTTAGCGACAATTCTTCAAAGATGTTTGAAGCTCGGAAACCAATACTTTAGTCTCCAATAATCTTTCCACTGTCACAGGAAGACTTTCAGTTTAGAGTCTCTTCATAGCCTTTTCTTCTAATATTCCTTTGAATGGCCACTTGAAAGGCCACTTGGGTGTTTTCTTTTTGACCTCATAATATATTTTTACATTTGTTCACCAGGAAATTGTTCTCAAAACCGATCCCCACTCTGAATGTTTTATCAGAAAGTATCTAACCATGTGGTAAATGCATAATTTAACCAGAATAATTTCTGAATCAGTCTATCTACAAATTCTGAATCAGAGATAAATCTGAGGGGTTTGGTCTTCAGATTCGGCTTTCTGTATGTTTTCTCGAACTGTTTATTTCTCCAATTTCCAAGTGCCTTATACTGCCACTATCCTTCCATCCCCATTTTTTACTTTCCTTCTATACATGTACAGACACACACACAAAATGTCAGTACCACCGCGTATGTATGCACGTGTGTGTATGTGTACATATACATACAGACACACACACACACATACACACACACACACACACGCTACAGACACATGACCAGTATCAGAGTATAAACCAAAGATAAAGACATAAATAACACTGTAGAATAGTAATGAATCCATTTATTCTTATTTCCAAGATAAAACAAAACTAGTTGGTTACTATAACTCACCAGATGGTTCTTCAGGCTCACTTTCATTTTCCTCCTCTGGTGGGGCTTGAGGGGGTGGTGGGGGAAGCTTCTTTTCTTTTTCTGCTTTAGCATTTCTCTCTTCTTCTGAATAATACTCATCTTCTGAGAGGTTGGCCAAGCTTTCATCCATCTCTCTGTACTCTACCTATATGGAGATTATACCAGGGAAAGCTAAATACAGTGAACATCTAACACCAGGGACTCAATTTGGAACCATCAGTGAATGTAAACTGCCTTTTAAATTCAAATTTTAAGGGAAATAAGTAAATAACAAGGAACAAGCTAGCTCATAATAGGTAGCTATTAAAAACAAAATCTTGGGGCACCTGGCTGGCTCAGTCGGAAGAGCATATGACTCCTGATCTCAGGGCCATGAGTTCGAGTGTAGCCCATGCTGGGTGTAGAGATCATTTAAATAAATAAACTTAAAAAAAAAACAAAAACAAAAACAAAAAAACCCCTAAAATCTCTCATGAAACAATCTCATGTCAGTTCAGATTTAGCTCAAACTATCAATTTTACATCATAGTACTGACATTTAGATTAATGAATCCGAGGCTCTCTACAACTCCTAAGAACTCTTTTAAAATATATGTATGCATATACATGTATGTTTGTATGTACGTATACATCATGTTCACACACCAGAAGTTTCAACAAAGACTAAAATAACCCTGAGATAAAAATATAGTCAACTAGAATAACAAGTCTACCAGGCAGGCCAGGCCTGTAGTTCTACTATTCCAAGGTGGAACAGAAAAATCCCAGAAACTAAATGGGGAGAAATGGCAGGTAATAAAAACTACAAATGGCAGCAGCCAAACTGAAACTATGAAAAAGTACACTTTGCTTAAAAAAAACCGATGACCTAAGAAAGTTGAATGATGAAAGGAAAGAATCCTTAATATAACAAATTAAGTGAAACAGAAATGGAGACCACAGGTCTTACTACTAATTTAGACTCTGGTTATAAAAGGAGAGAACCAGGTAATAAGTATAAAGAGGAAAGAAACTTGGTGAATGTCTTATTGGGGGTAAAGCAACTTAAGATAGGGAAGATTATAATGGACCTGTTTGCCAAAATGTGTAATATGGTATTACAAATAGTCACCAACCTTAGAACACTAGCAAATTGTCACTGTTGACTCCCACCCTAAAAAAAGATTCCAGGAAGCCATAGCAACAGCTCTCTATTTCAGATTCAATGAAAAGATAAAATGAATGAAATAAAAATTTATTAGATGTGGAGACAGAGCAAAGACAATATGGTTTCCACATATAACTACCTAATTTATTAGGTTTCTGAAATTAATAGTCCTGTGGATTACAGCAAGTGTACTCTACCTTAATTTTTGAAATGTCTCTGAAATAGCTCCATATGGCTGGCTACTTTTATATTTGCCTCTTTTTCTTTCTTTCTTTCTTATGACATGAACACAGACGGGCAGGAGAGTGGGTGGCTAGGGGAGGTAACAGGGATTGTGTCAGAAAATGGAAACAAAAATTAAGGATAAATTAAACAGTTCTGACCCACGCTCTAAAATTCTTATTTAACACATGAATAATAGTATTCATCTATCAAATACAGAACACTGAGTACATGGCCACAATGGAGAAAACAATTATGAATGAGAGTCTCCCTGCCCTTAATAAACTGAAAGTCTAGTTGCAAACTATTGGTCCTTATCAGGTAAATCGAGAGACTTTATAATAAAACCTCCACAAATCTACATACTAAACTTCACCCTACTTGACTGAGATAAACTGTAAGAACAGACCTCAGGACAATAGACAAGCTGCAAGGAGGGAAAAGTTTCAAAGAGGAAGAGGGGTCAGAAAATGTAATACATGTTTAGCGTATGTAGTTTCCCTTCTTTTAGCCCTCAGTAGTGCTTGACCCCTCTCTATCCCAAAGATTTAGCCCTTTAATCCTCTGTTCATCAATCTCATCCATTTAATCAATAATCACTTAACAAGTGCCTACCAAGGAACTGGGCAATGAGCAAATTCTGAAACAATAATATAAGATCCTTTCTACTGCAGTAGTTCGTTCAGCTCTTTCCAAAGGATGTTCCACAAAAGGAATCCATGATCAAGTCTGGGAAACACTGCATTCTTTACAGGCCCCCTCTAGGACAATCACGATGCACATTAAAGTTACTGAGAAGTTCTGCAGCAAAAACATTCTTTTTAACATTGTTTAATCCAATCTTTTGATGAAGTAGTAGCTGCTAAGAAGGAATAGAGTTCTTAGTTTTCAGGGAAAAAAAGAGATTAGAAAAACACCTAGAAGTAGGAGCAAAAATATCTAAGGGTAGTATTTAAAAATAACAAGGAAAAAAATATCTGTGTTTCCCAGAACCTAAAAGTCTTCAGGATTTCATTTAAATACACATTTATATGTGTTAAACCAAACCATAATCCTTTGGAGACTACCAACAAACACATGAACTTGTACTGCTTGGGTACTAAATCTGGGGTAGACCTAAGAATGAAATTTCTTCTGCAATGTGTTCAACCAAGACAGTGTCCTGAGATGACAAGACAAGCTAGAAAAACAACCATTTGCACTACTTATCAATCACTGGATCTTATCAAGCACTGGGTTTTCACAATACTTCATAAACAAAACACAGAAATAAAATTGGATTCTGAGACCAAAATAAGACTGCAACTATTAATTTAAACTTCTTAATATAAAACAGGTAAATACTACTTTATTTTGGAATTTTGCATAAAGTTTTATTTTGTAAAAAAAAGTTTCTCCACTTAATATAAAGTTAAACCATCTGAAAGAATCATACAAACTTTTTTTAAAAAATAAAAAAAACTATTCCCCTGAGAAAAGGAACAGATACTCTAAACACAAAAGTACTGGGAACTTCTCATCCCTAAGTAAAATCCTGAGACTTTGGAGGTTCTACTACTTACAACCAAGGACATAAAGATGTCCAATAGGCAGATATAAGTCAGTAGGGTAATTATTCTTACCTTTACACAGATGACTGAAATTTACACCTCTAGTCTCTCCCTTCTCTTCTTCACCCTTGCTACAATGCTTCATTCACTTTCCAGTCATCTTAAAGCTCCAGTCTTTTTGTTTTAATCTTTCTTCCTTTTAAGTCACCTAGGACACAACTGCCAGACTGATTTTCCAAATACGTGATATTTTTAGATAGTTTTAAAGGTGAATGCCAAATTTTTCAAACCAGCATATAAACTTTCTGGCTCTAACCAGTTGTACTTACCTTTAGCCATTTTCTAATGCACTAGTCAAAAAATCCTCAATGTTGTTCTACAGATCCCTAAACCCTAAAAGCTACTTCCACCCTTTTCTGTTAATACGATGCCAGAATTCAAGGCTCATCCTTTCTGCAAATTATTTCCTAACTATTTCAAACTTGCAAATATGTCTTTCCTTTCTCTGAATTGTCATAGCACTTAAGGTCTGCACTTCTCAGTCTAGTGCAGTAGAGTCTGATACCATTTTCTGTGATAATGGCAATGTTTTGCATCTGTGCTTCCACTATGGCAGCAGTAGTCACGTGCGGCTATTGAGCACTTACCATGTGGCTCTTTAAGTTTAAAAGTAAAAACTCAAGTTTCCTCAGTCGTACTAGTAACATGGGCTAGTGGCTACCATACTGAATAGCACAGATCCAGTGTATGGCTCTCTATAACCTGGACATGACTCTACAATCCAAACACTGCTGGTTCCCTCCAATTTATCTTGCTCCTAGAAAAACGTCATTTTCATTTAAATTCATTTGCCCATTGTTCCCAATGTTCAAGTGATCACTCTGGACTCCCTGTTGCTTCTCAAACCGCCACATAATATACCAAGCATGTTTCACTTCCTTTCTCAGCTGGTAGTACTTAATTACTGGGCACCTATTCTAAGCCAGACACTGCAGTAAGCGTTTTGTTTACATTATATCTAAACCTAAAAACCATACAAGGTAGGGTTTATTTTCCTGAGAAAAATGAATCATAGGGAGAAAAATTAACCCCTTTTCCAGAATACTTTTCTAAATTCTGCACTTTTTCAAGGCCCAGTTGAAGGCCACCAGTCCTGAAGTCCCAACCCAACTTAACAATTCCAAACCTTAAATATTTTGCCATAATGTTAGCATACACACTCAGAGGTGATTTTATTCTGAAACTTATGAAACTTAAGCTTTAGGGACCTCCCAATTGCATGGACCCCTTCCAATACCCTGAACCTTGTTTTAGTTACATAACTATATATATAACATCTGTACCTATGGTCTCCTATTGAATCTATAGTTCTAGATACAGATATATTCCCCTCTGCATATAGTTCTAGATACAGATATATTCCCCTCAGAACTTTTTTTTTTTAAAGATTTTATTTATTTATTTGAGAGAGAGAGAATGAGAGATAGACGCACGAGAGGGAAGAGGGTCAGAGGGAGAAGCAGACTCCCTGCTCAGCAGGGAGCCTGATGCGGGACTCGATCCTGGGACTCCAGGATCATGACCTGAGCCGAATGCAGTCGCTTAACCAACTGAGCCACCCAGGCACCCTACCTCAGAACTCTTGAAGCAAGGCCGGTCTATACTGGACTCAGCTTGCTTTTTCTTCCTTTAATAGATACTCTATCCCTTGAGGTCTGTTTCCTCTGGGGCTCCCAAGACTGGCCAGTAATAGGTCAGTTTCCCTTAGTTCCTTACTTCCTAGTTGCTCCCCCAAATAAACAGGTAACCCACTTTTCTCTTTAGAGTTTCAGAGTTAATCCCAATAGAAAAATAGTGTAGCAAGAATTAAAATAAACACAAGATTATTACAAAGACAGAAATCTTAGGGTATGTCCCAAATTGATCTACAGATTCAAGGCAATCCCAATCAGAGTATCAGTTGCCTTTTTGCAGAAACTGATAAGCTGATTCTAAAATTCATGTGGAAATAGAAGGGTCACAGAATATCCAAAACAGTCCTGAAAAAGAGCAAAGTTAAAGAAATCAAACTTCCTGATTTCAAAACTTATTACACAAAACCACAGTAATCAGGACAGTGTGGTACTGGCATAAGAACAAAAAAATACAGATCAATGGGACAGAAATGACAGTCCAGAAATAAACCTTCACATTTATGGCCAATCAACAAGGGTGCCAACCATTCAAAGGGGGAGACACCAGTCTTCAATAAAATGTGCTGGGACAAGTGGCTATCCACATGAAAAAGAATGAAACTGAACTCCTACTTCATACCATATACAAAAATTAACTCCAAAATAATCATAGATCCAAATTCATGAGCTAAAGCTAAACTCCTAGGAGAAAACATGAAAGTAAATCTTCCTGACACGGGATTAGGCAATGGTTTCTTGGATATAACCCCAGAAGCAAAAGGAACAAAAGAAAAACAGATAAATCGGACATTAAAAACTTTAATAATCACCACATATAAAGAATTCTATTCAACAATAAAAATACAACCCAATTTAAAAAGCCAAGGATTCGAACAGACATTTCATCAAAGATGATATACAACCAATGACCAATAAGCATAAGAAAAGATGTTCAATATCATCAGTCATTAGGGAAATACATATCAAAACCATAATGAGACACCATTTCACATCACTAGGATGGCTATAATAAAAAAACAGTATCAAGACAAGGATATGGAGAAATCAGAAACCTTATATATTGCTAATGGAAATGTAAAATGGTGTAGCTAATGTGGAAAAGTGGCAATTCCTCAAAAAGTAAAACACTGGGGTGCCTGGGTGGCTTAGTCAGTTAAGCATCTACCTTGGGCTCAGGTCATGATGCCAGGGTCCTGGGATCGAGTGCCGTGTCAGGCTCCCTGCTCAACAGGGAGTCTACTTATCCCTCTCCCTCTGCACCCCCATGCTCGCTCGCTCTCTCAAATCAAACAAACTCTTTTTAAAAAGGGGCGGGGGATGGGATAACTGGGTGATGGGCACATGATGTAATTAGCACTGGGTGTTATATGCAACTGATGAATTACTGAACTTTACAACTGAAACTAATAATACACTATGTTAACTGAATTTAAATAAGTAAAAAAAAAAGATAACATATGACTTAGCGATTCCAGTCCTAGTATATACCCAAGAGAACTGAAAACCTATGTTCACACAAAAACTGTACACAAATGTTCACAGCAGCATTATTCATAACCAGCAAAAAAGAGGAAACCCAAATGTCCAACAAAATGATGAATGGATAAACAAAATGTGGTATATCCATATAATGGAACATTATTAGGCCACAGAGTCATCAAATACCAAATGGAAATACTACAACATGGATGAACCTTGAAAACATACTAAAGCAAGACACAAAGGCCACATATTCTTGGGTTTCTGCCCTCTATTTCATTTCTGAAAGCTGGGAGTCCCCAACCTGTGTCTTTTCTAACCCATGCTTTGGTAAAAGCCCCCAAAAGCCTTTCCTCTTTTTAGCACAGGGTTTTTATTCTTGGAGATCTCTCAAGTGGGCAGTTGAATCTGAGGGCTCAGTCTGGGTAATACTCATCTCAAGAAGCTCTTCACACACAGACTTGGCATATCCATTTAAAAATCATATACAGATAGAAAACTTGTTATATGCATAAGCTATATGAATTGTGCGATTTTAAATATTTATTTTATAAGTATAAATCTCCAGAAAACACCCAAGTCTAAAAAGTCTGTGCCCTAGTACTGCCTTAGTGCCCTGCACAGTTGGTGTTCCATGTGGTCCTTTGTCTGAGGCTGAAGATACCTTATCACAACATACGTGTAGATTCCAGTTCCACCACTTAGCTCAGTTGTGTGACTTTGGACAAGCTGCTTCAACTGTGTGCCTCTGCTTACTCATTTCTTAAAACGGGGCTAACAATACCTGCCCACTGGTATTTAGCAAAAATAAAACATTAGTGACGCCCTGAACACAGCATCTGGCACCCAGAGATGTGAGGCAGCTGTTGTCTGTATATACTGTTCGGGTGACAAGCCTTTCTCTTCCCATATATTTGCACCCTGACTAGTTGATATTAGCCCTCTTAATCAGCTTCCTCATCTGTAAAAATCTACGTCAAAAGATCGTTGAGAGAATAAAAGGAAAAAGAGGAAAACTAGGGCACAGCAGGCCTAAAAACAAAAACCAAAACAAAAAAACCCACCATTCTTTTCCGTCTCCCTAGCTAAGACCCTTTCCTTAGCATTACCCTACAGCCTCAACGCGCGCCCAGCTGAAACTCCTTCAACACTGCCCAGGGGCCTCCCGACACATCTGCGGACAAACAAGCCATGCCTGTCTCCAACAACGCCAGCCAGAACTCCACGTCAGTGAGCCATGTTTCCCAGTAAAGAAAAGAAAAGGTGTACAGATGTAAGGAGTCAACCACGCCTCCCATCGATCCCCCTTTCCCGAGACGGCCGGGTCCCCGGCACAAAGAGCGCATTCAACCCGCGCGAAGCCCTTCCCCTCCCTCACCCCACCCACCCAGCTGGTGGGGAGGTGCGGTGGAGACCCGACGGGCTGGGGAGGTGGGGGTGGCCGGGGGCTGGACAACCTCGAGGGGGCCGGGCACCGGGGTCTAAGGCGTGCGGGAGGGGGTCGCGCCTCACCTTCGCTCGCTTGCGCCGGCTGGTCCGCCGCCCCTCCGGAGTCTCCGCGATTCCCGTTTCCATGGGGGTCGCAGATCCAGGAACGACGGTAGGCCCGGCTTGAGGACCGGCGGACCCCGGTGGCTCGGCCAGTCCCCCGGGGGGCGAGGCCCGCGGAGGCTCTTTCTTGCGGGGAGTGCGCTCTCCGGCCACCCCCGGCCCGGCCTCGGTAGGGCCCGACAGGCCCGCGGGCGGCGCGGCCACCTCGGAGCCGTTCTCCGCGCCGCCCGCTGCCCCGGGGCCAGCCTCAGTCCCCGCCGCCGCCGCTGCTGCTGCCGCCGCGGCCGCCGCGGCCTTCTTCCCAGACAACATCTCTGGCCGCCTGGCCGCCGACGGCCGAAGGGGCCGCTCGGTCTGTCGGTCCGTGGGTCCGGAGCCGCCTTGCCTCGCCTCACTTCACACTGGGAGCTCGCTGCCAACCGCCGCCGCGTACGCACGCGCTGAGCGCGCTCCCGCCGCGTCCGGACAAAAAGGCCCCGGTCGCCCACCGCCCCGCCTTCCCCGGCTGCCATAGAGCGGCGTCGTCGCGGCTAGAGCGACACCACCGCAGGGAGCACAATGCTTTCCTAGAGCGTCGTCTTAGCCTTTGGAGTGGGCCCCCGCGCCTTTCCCGGTCCTAAGGCTTCTGGGCCATACCGCACCTCCGAGGGCGACCATTTCCTCCAGGGACTTGTATACACCCATGAATTCATTCGTTCGTTCATTCATTCATTTATCTACTCATTCGTCAGTTCAACCAATATTTATTAATGCTTACTACGTGAGGAGGGTTTAATTATGAAGTTTTTGCTTTCAAAGAGCTTACAGTTTAGTGAGGGGAAAACATAGAACCATAAGTGGGAAATCATCTTGTATCGTAATTGTCCTGCTTGGACTGGGGAAATCTTGGAGAGCAAATGAGTCTCGTGGTAATAAAATGGACAGAAGTTAGGAAGTCCTGGTTTGAGTCCAAACTGGAATGGTGTTGCCTCCAGGGCGGTGTTCCTGTTCTTTCTTACGTCTGGACCTCCGCCCCATTAGCACTCCCTCACTCATACCTCCGCCCACTCCCTATGTCTTCCATACATAACACCTCTTTTTACTCCAGGTTAATTCTTTCTAGTGCTGCAGATGGTGGTGGTGGTTTATTTTTTTAATTCTTCTGGGACTCCTTTAGTGACCCAACACTGGAACAGCTTGTGTTTCTTCAAAAGCTTGTTTCTACTTTATTACACACAAATATAATTGCTTTTTTATATGTCTCTCTCTCTCCAGACTATAATTTTCTTTCTTTTTCAAAAAAGTTTTTTTTTTTTTTTTTTTTTTTTTTTTTTTAGTAATCTCTACACCCAATGTTGGGTTGAACTCAAAAGTCGCATGCTCTTGGAGGCGCCTGGGTGGCTGAGTCCTTAAGCAACCGCCTTTGGCTAAGGTCATGATTCCAGGGTCCTGGGGTCAAGCTCTGCATCGAGCCCCACATAGGGCAGCGGGAAGCCTGCTTCTCCCTCTCCCACTCCTCCTGCTTGCGTTCCTTCTCTTGCTTTGTCTCCCTCTGCCAAATAAATAAATAAAATCTTTAAAAAAAAAGTTGGGGAGCCTGAGTGGCTCAGTCGTTAAGCGTCTGACTTCGGCTCGGGTCATGATCCCGGGGTCTGGGGATCAAGTCCCACATAGGGATCGGTGGGAAGCCTGCTTCTCCCTCTCCCACTCCCCCTGCTTGTGTTCCTGCTCTCGCTATCTCTCTCTCTCTGTCAAATAAATAAATAAAATCTTAAAAAAAAAAAAGTTGCATGCTCTCCTGACTGAGCCACCCAGGTACCCTTCAAACTGTAATTTTGCAAAAAATTATCCCACTTACATGAAGTTTAAAGAACTGGTAAAACTGGGGCACCTGGGTGGCTCAGTCGTTAAGCATCTGTCTTTGGCTCAGGTCATGGTCCCAGCGTCCTGGGATCAAGCCCCAAATCGGCTCCCTGCTCCGCGGGAGGCCTGCCTCTCCCTCTCCCACTCCCCCCTGCTTGTGTTCCCTCTCTCGCTGTGTCTCTCTCTATGTCAAATAAAAAAATTAAAAATTAATTTAAAAAAAGTAATGGTGAAACTAATCTCTAATGATCAAATCCAATCAGTGATCACCTGGGATGAAGGTGAGAGTTGACTGCAAAACAGCAGGAGGGAATTTGCTGGGGTTAATGGGGAAATGTTTTTTTATCTCGATTGGGTGGTGTACACGTTAGTCAAAACTCACTGTGCTATGCAAGTAAAATATTTTCATATTTTACATTATGTCAATTGTACTTTAATGAAGTTGAATTTTTTTTAACCTAGGCAAGTCGAAAAAGGAGACAATTAAGTCCAGGAAATTCAGAAGATGTACAAGTAAAAAAGTGTAATCGTAGTTCAACATGGGCTCGGCTATGAACTACATTGACATAGCCATAGTAACATAAGCATTAATGTTTTAACCAAAGGGATAGAATTATATTGAGAGAATGGAGGAAAGAGAAAGTGTGTGGAGGAGAGGAATGACAGGGGTTTTTAGAAGCAGGGACGAAATGGGAATGGGGGAGGTTCTGCATGGGAACTAAATCCTCATCTTCCATCATAAAAAGATAATATAGAATGTCAAAATTGAGAAACCAAGAAATAACAGAACAAGCATACAATTTAGATATATCAAGATAAATACCAGAAGAAATAGTTAAAAAGTTGGAACGAGTTGTCTGAGTCCTATAACTTGAGGATGGAAAGGGGGAGATAGATCGAAGATTGCTTGTTTTAAACTCTTTAGTTCTGACTTGTTTGCACATTTAATAATTTGATAAAACTTAAAATTAGATTTTTTAAATATGTATATCCTTTAATCCAGCAATTCCACTTTCCAGAGGACATTCTAGGAAACTATTTAAGCATGTACCTCAACTTATATATGAGCAACAAAGAAGAATTAACCTAAAGGCCCAACAAGGAGCCACTAATTGGTATATTAGAATATCATAGCCATTAAAATAGACACTTGAACATGAAGAACTCCGTACAAAATAGTGAGCATATGTCAAAGATTTATTTAACTCATTAGAGAACCAGTAAGATGACAACACTGGTTCAAAGGAAAACATGAAAAGCTGATATATAGTCACTAGTCAGTGGAAAACAGAATGCTGGAATAAAATTGCAAAGTTAAATAAGAAACAAATGGTTTTAATGTCTTCCAAGGCCATAAAATTGTAGACTTTGAGGTTATCTTTTCTATCAGACACAACTAATTTGCTTCTATTTGGAAAAAAAATCATTTGCAACTTACCCATTTTTTTTTCCTGGAAATAACTAATTTAATTGTTAAAAATTGTGGTAAAAGACATAACATAAAATTTATCACCTTAACCATTTTTAAGTGTACAGTTCACTAGGGTTAATTATATGCTCATGGTTGTACAATCTCCAGAACTCTCTTCATCTTATAATATTCCATGCCCATTAAACCACAACTTGTCATTTCTCCCTGCCTCCTAGCTTCTGGCAACCATCATGCTACTTTCTGTCTCTATAAATTTAACTACTCTGGGTATCTTATATAAGTGGAATCAGACGACTTTTGTGTTTTTGGGACGGGCTTCTTTGACTGAGCATAATCACCTCAAAGTTTAAGCATGTTGTAGCGTATGTCAGAATTTCCTTCCTCTTTTTTTTTTTTTTTTTGTAATGTTAGTTCATGTCTTTTATCAACCCGTATACAATTACTTGTACCCTGGTCTGTCGAAGCAGTAGGTCAGACATTTGCCCCAGTAGCATCTGTTAAAGTGGCTAGCCATAAGAACACTAGTGCCACATTCGTCTGCAAAGTGACTGATGTTGCCCTTCTCATCCACCTTAGAGAGAGTATTTCAGGATGTCAAGCTTAACCTTCTTTCTCTTATGCTTATTCTTCCTGGGAGTGGCGTAAAACTTCTGCCTTTTCTTAGCACCACCAGGAAGTCTCAACACAAGATGAAGAGTAGACTCCTTTTGAGTGTTGTAGGCAGACAAAGTATGTCCACCTTCCAGTTGCTTGCCAGTGAAGATTAGTCTCTGCTGATCGGGAGGAATTCCTTCCTGATCCTGGATCTCGGCTTTTACATTTTCCATTGTATTTGAGGGTTCAACCCTCAAAGAGTGATGGTCTTTCCCATAAGGGTTTTCATGAAAATCTGCATCTTGGCAGCAGTTCCACCTCATATGGTGGATGGGAAAGGAGAACGCGGCAACAGCCCTTGGGGTTTTCTGAATTTCCTTCCTTTTTTAAGGCTGAACAATTCTATTGTATGTGTATACAGCATTTTCTTTATCCATTCATCTGTTGTTGGATTTTGGGTTTGCTTCCACCTTCTAGCTATTGTGAATAATGTTGCTATGAACATGGGCGTACAAATAGCTCTTTAAGACCCAGCTTTCAGGGGTGCCTGGGTGGCTCAGTCGGTTAAGCGTCTGCCTTCGGCTCAGGTCATGATCCCAGGGTCCTGGGATCGGGCCCCGCATCAGGTTCCCTGCTCAGTGGAGAGACTGCTTCTCCCTCTCCCACTCCCCCTGCTTGTGTTCCCTCTTTCACTGTCTCTCTCTGTCAAATAAATAAATAAAATCTTAAAAAAAAAAAAGACCCAGCTTTCATTTATTTTGGATATATACCCAGAAGTGTAATTGCTAGAGCAAATTATCCAACTTTTAAAAAGTTAACATCTGACTTTACAGAGTCAGGACCCTAATCAATATTAAACAATATTCTCAAAGTTACCTTCCCCTAAAGCAGCAGATGACCAGCAGGTGGGCCAGCCGGATGATATTCTGATATGGCTGTGTAAACAAGCTCAGAGGAATCTCTTTGCCTTATTTCCAGATCTTGGGTAATTTTTCTTTGCAGTCTCCCTCACCATGAGGGTAGGGGCTCTATGCTGCTGGCCATTTTATTCCCAGTGGCTAGGCCTGGAAGTACTGTCGAATAAATGAGGTATCACTAAAGCCGACATCACCTGGTTGTTGTGAAGACATCATGAGATGTTGCTTACAAACTGCCTGTCAAAGTCTGGCACATAGTGGCTGCTTAAGACAGGAGTAGTTAATATTGTTATGCGATAGCTGGGAGAGGGTGGCTGGTTATGACTCGGATTGGGGGCGGCCATGGCTCCTGTCATGGAGGGCAACTGTCCTAGAGGGGTCACCAAGGCAGGGTCTTGGGGCCTGGGTGCCTCCAAGCCATAATGCTGGGGGAACTTATGTCTCTTTTTAGGAATCTCCATGGGATACTTGCTTCCTCGGGCACCATAGGAGCATTGGTGGCTTGGTTGATCAGCTATAAGCCAGCCTTGTTTGGGTTCCTATTCCTTCTGTTGTTGCTTAGCAACTGGCTGGTCAAGCATGAACTCAAGCCCACCCCCCCAGAGCCCCCGCAGGTGAGCAAGAGGGGACTTAGCTTCAGCTAAGGATGATGGGATATTTACAGCTCGACTGGGGGTACGGGGGCCGGGGAAGATGTCAGGATAATGGGGCAAGGCTGAAAAATCCACAGCTCTAGTCTAAGCCCCTGTTCTACAACTTCCACTTGGGTGATGGAGGACAAAGCACTTCCTTCACAAGGCTTCAGTTGCCTGGGCTGGAAAACAGGGACCATCCCTAGACAAAAACAAAAACAAAAACAAAAACAAAAACAAAAACAAAAACACCCACAGAGAACAAACTGGTGGTTGCCAGAGGGGAGGTAGGTGGGGAAGGAGTGGAACAGATAAAGGCGATTAAGAGTACACTTATCTCGATGAGCACTGAAAAATGTAGACAATCATAGAATCACTGTATTGTATACCCGAGACTAATATAATACTGTATACTAATTATACTTCAATAAAAAGAAAAAAAGAGAGAAAACTTGTTTAAAACGAAAAAAATAGGGACCATCCCAGACTCTCCTGCTTCATGTTTGATGTCAACGTGGTTTGGCAACAGTAACAACTACTTGAAGGTAGAAAAAATTTAAATAGAGGAACAAAAGATACCTGTGGCACACAGACATATCTCTAGAATGGCATAATGAAGACACCAGAAATGTACCCAGATTATGACATCTTTTATGTAAAGTTAAAAAAACCCCACACATGAAACAACACCTTGTCTTGTTTGTGGATGCCTACATATAGCGAAAATATATTAAGGTTGGATCTCTCAACCTCTGCGCGTTTGATATTTTGAGTGGGATAATTCTTGATCATGAGGGCCTGTCCTGTGTGCTGTAGGATGTTCAGCAGCATCCTTAGCTTCTAGCCACAGATGCCAAGAGCACCTCTCGCCCCCTTTAGGGACAACCAATAACGTCTCCAGACATTGCCAAATGTCCATTGGGGAAGGCAAAATAGCCTCCCATTGAGAACCACTGGTGTAAAGAAATATATGGAAAAAATAAATTCTGAATTCAGGATTGCAGTTGAGATGAGGTTCAGAGAGGGAGGGAACTCTATGAGAGAGACCCAAAGGGGACTCCAGTTATATTTGTCATATTTTTATTTCTCATGCTGGTATAAGAACATGGGTATTTGCTGTAATATTCACTTTTATTTTTGCGTGTCTGAAACATATTTTTTTAAAAATTTCATTTATTTATTTATTTGAGAGAGAGAGAGCACAAGCACGGGGAGGGGCAGAGACAGAGGGAGAGCTGGAGAAGCAGACTCCCTGATGAGCCGGGAGCCCAAAGCCGGGGCTCGATCCCAGGACCCTGGGATCATGACCTGAGCCGAAGGCAGACACTTAACCGACTAAGCCACCCAGGTGCCCCTGCATGTCTGAAATATTTAAAATGGTTTTAAGGATGAGGAATTTGTAGCTGACTCCAAAAAGAAAAAAAAATTTAAGTATTATTAATTGCATAGAGGCAGATGAGGATTATAGAGATCAGAGTGTGTCATGAGACAACGGGAAACTTGGCAGGTGGTGATTTTATGAGGCCTGAAAACAGTCTCAGGCACACTGGGAGAAATACATGCTCCAGAGACAGATATATCTGGGTTAAGTGCTTTATGTCCCCTGGGAGTGCAGATGAGCAGGCCATTTCATTTATTCCTGGGAACCAAAGACAAGTATGGGTCCTAGGAGTTTAGGGGTTCCCAAACTGAGAAGAGGACCTTTCCTCACTGGACCCCAACTCTCTCACCCACAAGATGTGGCAAGATGCTCTTCTTGCAGACTGGTTGTGAGGATTGATTAACGCGATGTGTATAAATCGATATTAACTAATGTTTCCTTTTTTGGGGTGAGGGGTCTAGGAAGAGGCAGAGAAACCAAAACCTCTTGAAGCCAAACCCAACAGCTACGTCTTGAACACAAAAGAAGTTGAGAGACTGCACGCCTGCTTTGCCCTCCAGGACAAGGTCCTTGAACGGCTTATGTTCAGTGAAATGAAGCTGAAGGTCTTAGAAAATCAGATGTTCATTGTATGGAATAGAATGAGTCACCACAAGAGGTCAAGCCGGCAGCGGACTTTTCCCATGAGGAAACACAGAATAAGGAGACATGATTCAGTTTTCTCCATCATCTCTGACTGTACTTCTAATTCCCCCTAATGAGGTCAGAGAGACTGGGGGGGGGGGTGCTGACCTCTTTGGATGTTACCTTTCCTCAGTAAAACCCAGTCAGAGACTATTGAATTTTCTTAGTAAATCACACTGGAGAGCAGGATTGGAGGCTGAAAGGCCAATCACCTTTGGGAAAGAAATCTGTACTTGCTCGTCAGCCACGTAGTGCTCTAAGAACAACCCGAGGGGCCGCCAGAACCCGGCTCCTCCTCTCTTTCAGTTGTCCCCCTTAACCCTAGTCCAGAGCCCTCTACCTGTTCACCTTGAGTCTTATAATGGCCTCCCCTGAGCTGCCCCAGTTCCCAGTCTTCCCCTTTCCCTCTGCTCAGAGGCCAGAGCCAAGCTCTGCCAAGTGGGCAAGTTGCCTGCCTCTTCTTGAAACGCTGTGGTTGATGGAATAAAGGCCACACTCCTTACCATGGTGTTCAGCCCCTCCATGATCTGACCCCTTTTCCAGGCTTGTTTCCCGCCCCTTACTCTTCCTCATGTGCTTTATACCTTGTGCCAGAGTATCCCAAACACCAGTCATCGGGTACCCCCTTTGTGATTTTTGCCAGAGCCATGAGCCACCTGAATATTTTTAGCTCAATATTGTCCCTTTTATTTTTTTAAATGACAGTGAGTTAATTTTTTTTATCTTTTTTTTAAAGATTTTATTTATTTATTTGACAGAGAGAGACACAGTGAGAGAGGGAATTCAAGCAGGGGGAGTGGGAGAGGGAAAAGCAGGCCTCACAGGAGCAGGGAGCCTGATGTGGGGCTCGATCCCAGGACCCTGGGATCATGACCTGAGCCGAAGGCGGACACTTAATGACTGAGCCACCCAGGTGCCCCTTAATATTGTCCCTTTAAACTGACTTGTTTCCTTAAATAAATGTATCTGTGAAAGAAAGTCATAATAAAAATAATTAACTGTACATTAAAAAGCTATATCATTTGGCTGAAGTAGAAACTGTCAAAAAACTGTCAAAAAAATTAAAAAAAGAAGACGACAGTGGAGACACAACAATGTTACTAAAGTTCCAACCAGAGCTTAGTTGCCCACTGGAAGGGTCTGAGCCTGGGAATTTGGGGTTAAAAAGAGAAATTAGTAAGTATTAGTGTTGGAGAGAGATGCTAGCACCAAGCTAAGGTTTTTCTCCATAAGGAGAACTAGAAGGAAACCACTACCTCGCCGTGGGATCCGGTGTGGCCTAGTGCCTTGTTGGGCCCCACCTAAAATCATCTCTAATCAAACCAGATGGCTGGTCATCCCCCAAACGCATCCACATCTTTGCTCCTGTGGTTTCTTCCCCTGGAATCCCTTAGCTTCCCCCTTGTACGATTACACTTCTTTAGTCCTTCCTAAACTACACCTCCAGAACGCTTCCCTAACCCACTGGGGAATAGTCTCTGTCCTTGGTGTGCTCCCAGCATTTTATCTTCAGTTCGGCGGGGGAATGTATCACGATCCGCTGGGATTTGATTTGATTTGCACACACTTCTATATTTCCTCCCCATCCTCCAGCTAGATTATAAACCCTGCAAGCACAGCATCTTGTTCATCTGTCTCCTGCCCCCACGGCATCCAGCCCTGGGGCTGGTATATAGTCAGTCAGTGCTTCATAAATAGCATCTCTGATTGTTGATCATAGTCTATGTGTCCTGACATGTTCTCTGAGCCCTCCTTTTATGATAACTCCCCTATACCCTATTTTTTTTTTTTTTTAAGAGCAGGATCTCTGGCGTCTAACGGCCTAGCTTTAAATCCCGCCTCTATCCACTCCCAGCTGTGTGCTCTTAGACAATTCTAGGTTGTTTATTCTCGCTGGACCTCGGTCTGCTCAACTGTCAGATGGGGCGGGTAGCACTACCACCCTCACTGCGTGTCGTGAGGATTAGGTGAGCTCCCACACCCCCTCAGGTCTTTCCTCCCATGACCTCCCTACTTAAAATCACAAGCCTCCCTTGTGGGTCAGGCGTCTTCTCCTTGCCTCTGCAAGTCCACTGGGGTTGCCTCAGGCTGCTTTAGGGCTGGCTGGGTTCTTTCACCGAGGGTCACTCCTCTCAGGGAGGCTCTCTTGACAGGACCTTCCTCTTTCAGGTTTTCTTTGGAGCCAGGGGTGGTAGGCATCCCCCCTGTTTTCCAGCCCAGTGGGACTGCACTCTCTTCAGAATGCTGCTCACACCCTTGTCAACAGTCCCTTTCACATAGCTTCTCCTTGCTAATGGTCTTGCTGTATGGCCAGCCCATGGGACCACCCAGACCTAGACTGTTAGGAGAATCTCCGTATGGTAACCTCTGCTGTGGAAACAGATAAAGCAATTCAGCCACAAAGTCCAAAGGTATGTGATATGTGAACAAGCTCACAATAAAGCACTGCATCTTTTTTTTTTTTTAAACTTTTTTTTTAAGAATTTATTTATTTATTTGAGAGAGAGAGAACGAGAGATAGAGAGCACGAGAGGGAAGAGGGTCAGAGGGAGAAGCAGGCTCCCCGCTGAGCAGGGAGCCCGATACGGGACTCGATCCCGGGACTCCAGGATCATGACCTGAGCCGAAGGCAGTCGCTTAACCAACTGAGCCACCCAGGCGCCCCTAAAGCACTGCATCTTGACAGAGCCTCTGGACAGTAAAATTGGTCAGAACTATACGGCTAGCCCATCCACTTGGTGCACTAGATCCGTGCCTAGACCTACCAGTAGCAAAACCATCATGGAGGTCTGAGGTGGCCCAGTGAGGATCCACTTGACCTATGAAGTCACTGGTACTCACTCACAGACTACGTCTTACTTGCCAGAAATGCTAGCCTTCAGCTCAAGGTATAGTGCAACAACATGGGGGATCTGACTAGTTCATAATAGGTAAATTGGTGGCAGTGGATTCTGACCACCATAGACCTGATTTAGGATGTGGGGTGGCTACTCTCTTCACCGAGGTAGACTCCTAAGGTTCTGATGAGCACCTTTGCCATGTGCTAAAATGTCCCGATATGATGCAATCTGACAATGGAACTCTGTTTACAGCCACTGCCTCCCAGTTGTGGGCCCTGTCAATATGGAATTCACTTGCTCTTCCACACTTCCCCCTGCAGATGGTGGGTACAAGGGAGCTTTGGTACGGCTCGTTCGAGGTGCAATTACATCAGTGCTCCCTCATCATCTTCTGTGGGCAGCTAGGAAAGGGAAGGGTACACCTGATGTGTCAGGCAGAATGCTGACTCCTGGGTTCCCATGGAGATCAAGGCTCTGGGAAAGGACAAATCATCTGGCTCATCCCAGGCGCATGACAGTCCACAGGTGATGATCTAGCAAGAACAGAGGCAAGAAGTCTCAGGAAACAGACCAGGATGGAGGGCTAAATAAACTTGCCTTCTCTTCCAGATTGGGACAGGCAATGCTGAACAGCCTCTAGCAGCTGTCCAGGCCAGGGCCCATGGCACAAACCTATCACAGTACTGAACATACCATCACCCTTACCCCAGCCCACCATCCCCAGCTATAGGAGACTTATCAGTGACTCACTCTCTGACAGTGGCAAGGACATTGCTTCTAGCTGGTCCTAGCCACCAATAGCTGTGTCACAACCATGTTCCCATCCCTTGCCCAGGTAGTGGTGAGGCCCATTGGCAGAATACTGAGCAGTGACCTTCATAACCCAGGACTGCATATATATATATAGGTCCTCGAGTCTGGTATGGACTCCATGGCCAGATGGCTCCGGCCTCCACCATGGGCTCTGTACCACCACTCCAGGCTTCCCTCCCCCTCCAGCATTGCCAACAGCTGCCGGAAATCCCCTTAGGAGCCCAGCTGATTTCTACCCCTATTGTTTATTACACTCTTACTGATCTCCATCCTGAGTGGGCAGGCTTGTGTTTGACGAGCTCTAGGTCAGGGGATGGACCTTGGAAAAACAATCTGGATTGTATGGGAAGACCCTGGGGGCTCACTCCAGGTTTTAGCAATGAGGTGACAGCAGGTGGGCTCCAGGAGGGACTCCCTTCCCCAAAGCAGAACCAATTGCACAAGGTCTCCACGCCCCTCAGGGTCTTCAGGTGCCTCAGCCCTGCAAGCAATTTCCCTGGGGCCTGAGCGCAGACCAGCTTTTCTTTACTTGCGAGGCTGACCTCACACTGTCTATATAGTAGAGCAGTTGGCTGGAGGGAAGTCTTCTGGAGCACACACCAGGATGTTTCTGGCTATGCCCTGACCCTTGAACCTCTCTCCATGTGACATGAAAGACTGCACGACGCACCAGCACCTCGTTAACTGCTGACCTGCCGCGTCTAGGTTCCCCGGTGAAGCCTGATTTGCACCTATGATGCATGACTTTGTGGTCTTTGCCTTCATCCCGCACTCACAGCTCCTGGACCTTGGGGTTCAGGGCTCAGATCCTTCTTCACTTCATTTCACTCCCTGATGATGGCTTTAAATATCCTCTACTATTTTCTAATGCCAACGATTTTCTAAATTATATCTTTGATACAGACCTCTAAGTTCCAGATTCAAATGGTCCATTGCCTACTTCCATACTTTAACTCAAACATCTCAGAATTAACAGCAGTCCTGAACTCTGTCCCCCCCCCCCCCACTCCGAACCCCTCCCACACACAGGCTTCCTCTTCCGGTGGCTTAGGCCAAAACCTCTGGAGCCATTCCTGAGTCCTCTCTTTCTCTCTTCTTCGGCTCTAATTCACCAGCAAGTCCTACTGGCTCCACCTTCGAAGCATGTCCAGAGTCTGGGACTCTGGGCGCCTCCACGGCTGCTCCTGAACAGAGCCCCTGGCCTCCCCGCCCCTACCCTGGCCCTCTAGTCGGCCCTCAACACACAAGCCTGCGGTCCTTTAAAAATGTGAGTCAGGTCCTGCCACTCCTCTGCTCCGCACCCTGCAAGGGCTCCCATGTCGCTCAGAGTGAGAACCAAAGTCCTTCCTGCAGCCTATGAGGTTCCCCATGACCTGGTCCCCGATTACCTTTCCCACCTGGCCGGCTGCCCTGCCCCTCGGTCCGTTCCAGCCTCCCGCCTCCTTGCTTTTCCCTTGGCACCCTGGCACACTCTCATCCTCCGAGAGGCCTTT